GTGTTAGAGTGATGCGTGTGGGATATCCAGGGTGATCCAGTGTATGTGAACAGTGAGATGTTTGGGCGCTGAAGTCGCCATAGCCAATTGAGAGTGAACTCGTATCTGAAAGCCATATCTCTGAGCTTTGAGTGGGCGCATGTCGCCAGTATGATGCGTTACTGTTTACACGTGTGAAAAGTGTGTTTGAAAACGAGTCTGATTGCACAAGCATGCAGAAAGATCTCAGAAAAATGGTAAGAAAGGCATGGGCGAAGCAGGGAAATTAAGCAACCAATTTGACGTTCTCAAGAAGGTGAAGGCGGAAGAGTTATCGGAATACACAGCATTCAAATATGCAAAAAAGAAGAGAGCAAGGGAACAGGGAGTGAAAGACAGAGATAGAACAGCTCCAGAGTCGAAGGACGACTTCCAAGATCTGCGCCCAAAGAAGTGGAGATCCGGGCAAAATCAGAAGAAGAAGAACCCGAACATGTCCCAGACTGACTCTGAGGAAGAATCAGCGCGCACACAGCTGGAAAAGGAAGCGGCAGTGGTAATTGCACAAACAGAGAAGCTGAACAAACTGAATGAGGAATACTCAGCAGAATTCACAACGATCACACACATCGCCAGGGATCAGGCTCCTCTGGTGGTAGAGACAGCCAAGTCGTCAAGACTGACACTGATGAACATCCGTCCCTTGATTGCTGCAAGGTATGTAGAAAAACTTGAGGAGTGGCAAAGTGCAACAAATGTGTCCTTTCAAATCCCATGCTTTGAGGAAGGGCAAAATGTGGCCACCACACTCCGCGAAAAGATATCCACGGAGTACCCATTAGGGGTTTGTGATTCCATGCCAAGCATCCCAGATCAGGAGGATGCACTTCCTCAACCAGAACACGAGGGATCAACTTCACAGCACAAAGAGCATGGTAGACATTCACCTCAGGCATTCTCACCATTGATCGTCAAGCTGTCGAACAAAGCAAATCTGAGTTCAAGGATGAGATGGAGGCCGTGGAGAACGATCAAAGTTGTGCCTTATAGTGTCTTGGCGGGATCGAGCCTACCGGTTGAACTAGCATCAGTCTCACTGGCTCAGTTGGTTACTACAGGAATGTTGGAGGGCGATGGTGACTTGGACGCAAGGGCATACCCGGTGGACTGGGAGAGGTTTTATAGGAGTGACGAATCTGAGGGGGAGGACCAGGAATGGCATTCAGATGACGAGAAGGAAGAAGACGACTAGGAGGATGCGATGGACTCAAACAATGAGGACAGTGAAGAGTTGTTTGAGATCCCCAGGCAGGAGATGGATAAGATGACTAGTGTAGGACAGCCCACGGCAGACCCCCAAGGGGGGGAGGGACTGTTGGACATGGACACGGGGGGGGGGCCACCTTCGTAGACCTTTCAATGAATCGATGATAACCCGTTGTAACCCAGTAGAACCCAAGGGATGGAGGGGTCCAGGAAGAGGGCCAATGAGAGGGAATGTCAGAGGGACTGGAAAGACCAAGGAATCAATATTCGATCATGGAATGTGAATGGCTTGGGAAATATCCTAGACAAAGAAGAAAAATGGAACGAAATAGTCCAAGGTTGAACAGTTAAAAATAAAACGCCAGCAGATATAATAATGCTACAAGAAACTCATCTCTCATTTTCAACAGAACACAACAAAATCAAAAAATTTGTGTCAAGGAAGTTGGGAGGGGTCAAAGATGAAATATGGGCGGCAGACAATRTATCGAGTACYAAGGGCACAACTATCTTAATCCCCAGCTCCTCACRCATATACAAGGCAGGAAGTGTTATGAACAAGGAAGCGGACCTCAATGAGGGCAGATGGTGTTCTATGCACTTTAAATGGAAAGATGAAGAGTTCCTCCTCCTCAATATCTATGCCCCAAACAACGCAGCCGAAAGAACGTCTTTCCTGTTAGAGTTGGGGACAAAGATCCCACCGCTGACGTCGTGTATAGTAGCAGGCGACTGGAATGCAACCTTAGACCCAGTAACAGACCTCATATCCAGATCCTCCAACACTTACAACTCTCAAGAGGCAATACCGGCCCAGCGACTGATGGTAGATCACGACCTAGTAGACCCCTTTAGAATCTTCCATCCGACGTCGAGAGCATTCTCACTGATCAAGAAAAGCCATGCGCAACACACAGCCTTCTCACGAATAGACTATTTCCTGATATCAGGCACAATGATGGGAGCGGTGAAAGAGGCGGCGATCCTGCCTTTAGCACCTTACCCAGGGCTGGATCACAAACCCATTGAGCTCACGATATGCTTTGAGCAACAAGTAAGGAAAGGGGCCAGCTTTCACAAACTAAACAATTCACTCTTGCTGAGTCAAACTTTCCAAGAAGGGATACAAGAATATTGGAAAGAGAGGGGTATGAGCCGCCTTCCTACTCATGATCGGTAGGAATGGTTCGTAGAGAGTTACTCGCTATTAGCGGAGGCAGCAACCGACATGTCAAGAAAACTGGCCTCTATAAGGAAGCACAGAAAGCAAAGCCTAGAAAAGGCTCTGAAGATAGCAGAATACAACCTGAGGGATAACCTGTCCTCAACACTATATGCGGGCATATTTGAGAAAGCACAGGAAGAGCTAGCGATGTGGAGGTGGTGGGAGTTAAAGGGCTTGCAGATAAGAGCCAGGATGTGCGAATATGATCTCAACGAATCAATGTCGAAACACTTCTTTGCCCGAATTAAAGCGAATACAAGAGCGGCCACAATAGAGAAATTGAAAACCCTCAGCAACCCGGAGGTGTCGGCGGAAACCAGCAAAGGGATTTTGGGAATTGCTAAAGAGTTCTACCAAGACCTATATCAGACTAAAACCCAAACACCCACGCCAAGCAACACATTGGAAGCAAGACAAAGGATGTTACAATATTTGGAACAAACGATATCGCCAGAACAATCAACAGAGTTGGACAAGCCCTTATCATTGGAGGAGCTAAACCAAGCTCTTAAGAGCATGAACAATGACAAAGCACCAGGCATTGATGGGCTGACGAGGCAATTCCGGGAAAATTTTGGCCATACCTCGGGGGGGACCTGTTGAACTTCTACAAAGATAGCTATGAGAAAGGGGGGTTAGGCAATTTGCTGAGTAGTAGCGTTGTAACACTACTGTACAAGAAGGGGGACAAGGAAGACATCAGGAACTATAGACCTATATCCTTACTAACTTTCCCATACAAAATCCTGGCCAAGACCCTGGCTGCCAGAATTACGAACGTAACTGACAAATGCTTTCACATTGATCAGACGGGCTTTATCCCTGGACGTTACATATTGGATAATGTGCTAACTATAAACGAAGCTGCAAACAAAGTCAGAGAAAGGAGGATAAACACAGCCATACTCTTCTTCGACTTTGAAAAAGCCTATGATCAAGTCAACTGGTCTTTTATGGATGCAAGTATGAACGCATGGGGGTGGGTCCAATTTTTAGGAAATGGATCCAGGTCTTGTATAATAATGCCTCAGGCTGCGTACAGATTAACGGGTTTCTGTCTGACAGTTACCCAATATCACGTTCAGTCAGGCAAGGAGACCCGCTAGCCCCATCGATTTTCCTATTTGTGATGGAGGCTATTGCTTCCTTCCTAAGGAAAAACCCTTCCATACATAGACTTCCAGAGGTCAATGTAGGGACGTCTCACCATCTCAAGTTCCCGACAGTTATTTTGTTTGCAGATGACATGACAGTACTGATTAGAGCTTCGGATTCGTCCTTTAAAGCATTGTCCAGGGCAATGGAAGCATTCAGACTGGCATCGAAAATAGATCAATTGGAAGAAGACCATAGGCTGGTGGCTGTCAGATGAACAAATTCCCAACCTACAAGGACCGGAGGCTGCCATGTCCTGGGACACGCCAGAAACACCCACCCGATACCTAGGCATCCTCATGTCACGGGAGGGTCTGGTACCTCAGATGGCCCAGAACATGTTAGCTAAACAGTTAAACAAATTGGGAAGATGGGGGAACACATTCACCTCACTGATTGGTCGGGCCTTGGTACTTAACACTTCTGTCTTCTCTATGATGTGGTACATTGCGTCAGTCTGGACAATTCCAGACAACTCACTAAAGGAACTTAATCGAGTGGCCAGGACGTATTTATGGACAGGCAACCCCAACAAGGAAGGCTGTATCCCAAAGATAGCTCGGCAGTATATCACAAGAAAACCAATACAAGGGGGCATAGGAATCATCGACCCGAGGTGTGAAACGAGAGCTCTTCAAGTCAAATGGATAGACCGATTGTTGACCAAACCAGAAACGACATGGAATAAACTGGCCCTGGACAGCATAAGGGCCTTAGCTCCGGTGGCATCACCAAATAACATCACAGGACTATTCTGGGTAATGAATAAGGACTGGTCCTTGAAAAGGGCGAGAAGAAGACCCAGGAGGGAAGTAGAAAGGCATGTAGACAACCGTCAAACACCGTACTGGGCATCTCTAATCCGGATTTGGAGGGAAATAGTGCCAAAAAAGACCAACAGACCAAAATCTAAGGACGAGGTGTTGAGACAGCCTCTCTTTGGCAATGAATGGTTGAAGGGCGAAAGTGATAAACCCCTGTTCTTAGACCACAAATGGCAGTCATGGGTAAGGAATGGAGTCTGGACAATCAGCCACTTGTGGAACGAAGAAAAGAAGGAATGGTTCTCTGAACAAGAGTTAAGCGAACGTTTGAAGGGATGTCATAGAAGAGGACCCAACCTGCAGTACATCATTAATCTTGTTCCTCAGGATTGGAAAGAGATGCTAAAACAAGGGGAGCCATGGAAAAGTGGAGAATGGGGGATCAAAGTGCAGGAAACATCCCCCTCTAGGGCCTTCCAATTCTCACACCTACATCCCGGAGCAGTCACTCAAGCCGTGTTCACTTCCTTCCCAATTGACCACTCTACGAAGGGGATGACAACGATTAAGAACATTAACGTGGAAACAACAGTCATGGATTACTTCCTGCTCAGAAAAGTAAGGGTCTTAGGCACATGGCCGAAGTTCTTCTTCAGAACCGATACGGTCTTACACAACCTGGAGTTCGACCCGATGGAGTGGGCATGGAAACCAGAAAGGAGCGCAAACATAAAGAGACTCACCCCCATTCAGGATTACACGGTCAAATTCGGGTATGAGCTACTGCTAAAAACAAAAGACCCAGAACCGGTGATCAAGGCCAGGTGGCAGAAGCTAATAGGACAGGAAGCAGACAATATCACACAGATCCCGTGGAAGATTTATAAAACGATCAGACCAATCAAAATCAAAAGCCTCCAATGGCTGATTATATATGCGGCAGTACCAGTCAACCAGTGGCTACACGTGAGGCGGAAGGGTTCAACCCCTGACAGTTCTGATCAATGCAAAGTATGTACGGAAGGGGCTGTAGAGGATATAGTACATTGCTTAAGACACTGTAGGGAGGCGACAGAATTCTGGGCAAGAGCCTCGACCCTATGGGACTCCCTTTTCCCGACTCCTTTCCCTGAACAACCCATCCAACTTCTCCTTCTGACTAACATCCCTGAACAACTCCGGAAAGCGGAAATGATTTGGTATGGACTCATCAGGAAGGTGACACTCGGGATCATATATAAGGAAAGATGCAGCAGAACGATCGAAGGAGTGTCCAACTCACGAGAGATGATTTGGCTGGAGACAAAAGTAATGATACAGGCGGAAATCCTATGCCGTTGGCAGAAAATCAAATTATCATGGTCAGAGGATGAGGAACAGCGAAAGAAGGCGAGACTGAAGTTCAGCAGGATATGGTTGATAAAAGGGAAAGTTGCTGATCTACGAGACGACCGCATCTACTGGAAGGACTGGCACAACTCCAACTCGGGAAGAAGTATTTGGCAGGGTCTAACTGCACAAGGGCAAGGCACCTCCGGACCAGAATCTTGAAGAGGAAACGATGTACCTATATCATTACCTTAAGGAAGGCACAGCTGGGAATGGAAGTATGTTTCTGGAAGGAAGAAGAGTGCGAAGAGTACGAAAAAAGGCTGACTCAAAGGAGGTTGGAGTAAAAGCTCAAGGAAGACAGGTTCCCGTATCACTCTAATAGAATGGAGACATAACCTTAAATCCCAGCCCAGACGGGACAGCGAGGCCCAATAGTGGAGGGTTTTAGGGTTTAGGGTTCTAGTGACATCTAAAAAAAAGGGAGAAAGTTCAATGGAGAAGGGATATTTCAAATCACAGGCTGAATTGGCGAGGAGGGAAGTAAAACAAGAAAAACTATGGATGAGCTCTTTCTAGGAGACATAGCTTCATTAGGCAGGGCTGGGTATACCAGGTCTGAGAGGAAAGAGCGAGTCATGGCAAGCTGACACTCAATCCTCCACCAATGGTGGAGCAATCAATGCTGTTCAGGGGTCC